CTGTGACAGAGGGAGAGATTTATGTTGTTGGGTTTGTTCATGCTCATGGGCATTACACAGAAACCTACTCTTCAGTCATATTTTACCACAAAAGAGTAACTTCCACACCAGAATTTAGAGACATTATAACACAAGACAGATTGGAATTAATATGTAAATATTTGCAGTTTGCTGACAATGAATACATCAGCACTTTTGAAGGACCAGAAAACCTTTTCAAAATGTTCCCAGTAATTTCACATCTTAATAACAAATTTCAGGAACTGTATCTCCCAAAACAGGACATTTCAGTTGAGCCGTGCTAAGCCTTAGCCCGCTCACGATGAGGTCATCATCCTTCCTGTGACGGATTCCATCCCCACCATGCGGTACCCTGACGTCAGTCACGTGGTCCCATGTACCCTCTTGTGAAGGGGAGACTTGTACAGTGCAGTCGTTTAGACCAAGTCGACTTGGAAGGTTGTTTACTAGCCAGCAGGTTTGTGGTGGAAAATATTGGTTTCGGCTGGGGCTGTTCTAAATTCCCTTTGGTGTTATCTGCTGGCCGGTAAGGACTGCCCGCGGTCGCAAGCCGTTGCAAGAACGCTTGCGACGTGCGTATTGGTTTTGGGTTGGTTTTTAGTCTCAGAATTTAGACTTGCGTTTGTATGGCCGGAGGGCTTAACGTCTTGATATTTCTAGCGTCGACACAAGTGGTGCCGACGGGAAATTGTTAGTCTAAATGAGCTTGTCTTTGTTTCTTGGTCAAATGTGTCTTTTTGTTATTTATGTATTGTTATATTTTGTTATTAAATTGTATCTGGTTTTATCTAAGCCAACGACTGAGTGTAGCTTCCTCCTCCTAGCTTGGATACCCCATCTCCATCTAGGGGAGCGTGGGAACCAACAATAGGGCCAGTAACGATTGCGCTGTGCCCTTCCTCTTCGTAATAATAATGGTGATTTATAGTAATCAGAGGAGAGGAAGACGAAGGGCGCGGCGCACAGTTGATGACTCATTGACACTTTGGAAAGGCCATCTGTCTTTCACACAGTACCTCCCTCTTAAGGAATCCAAATTTGGAACTAAACTTACGAGTTGCTTGACTCCACCATGGGGTATTTATGTATATACAGGCAAGGATACAGAACTTGACTCCCCCTTTGATCACAGAAGACACCACTAAAACTTCAGCCATTGTTCTGAAACTGGTAGAATCTCTGTGTGGATGGATAATTTCTATAATTCTCCATCTCTAGCCAGGCTACTGAAAATCATGCACAAGACTGACTGTGTTGGGACTCTGTAGTTGAATCATAGGAATGTGCCAACAAAAGTGAAAAACACTAAACTAAAAAAAGGCGAAATCGTGGAACAACATTTTGCACCTGTTTCTGTCACAAAGTGGTGAGACAAAAGAATTGGTGACTATTACCTCCACTTATCACAGTCAAGACACCAGGACTGTTACAATTAGAGGCAAGGAAGTGGCCAAACCAGTTTCAGTAGTGGACTACAACAAATCAATGATAGAAGCAGCTGCTTCACTCTTATCTGATTGAGAGGAAGTGTATGAATAAACGGTACATGAAGCTATTTTGCAGGCTCTTGAAAACCTAAATTCTGAATGCAATGATAATATACAGGGTTCGTCCGAAAAGTAATGTCAGTGATTTTATTGTGAAGTGATTATACGTCGCAGCGCGCTCAGACCGGTTGGTATCGGTGGAGGGGGAAGTCAGCTTATGAACGCGCGGTCGCTTAGTCGTCTCCGAACTTCCTGAGAGTGATGAAAGGCTTTTCCGTGAAACTCGTTTTTGTCTCCCATGCAAGCTGCAATGCAGCACTCCTTGGAACAAAGGACTGCCATCAAGTTTTGTGTGAAACTTGGCAAGTCTGCAGTGGAAACTTTTCCCATGATAAAGACAGCCTTCGGTGATGATTGTTTGTCGGAATGTCAGGTCTACCGGTGGCACAAGGCCTTTTTAGAAGGCCGTGAAGAGGTCGGCGATGAAGCCCGCACTGGACGGCCATCAACAAGCACCACCGACGAAAATGTGACACGTGTGAGAGAACTTTTGAACTCAGACCGTCGTTTGAGTGTTCGTTTAATGGCACAGACATTAAACATTCCAAATAGTACCATTCACGAGATTGTGACGAACAATTTGCAGATGCGAAAAGTGCACGCAAAGCTGGTGCCCAAAGTGTTAACGGACGACCAAAAATCGCACAGAGTTAAAACGTGCCAAGAACTTTTGGACTTGTGTGAAAGTGACCCTCACTCTTTAGACGTCATCACAGGTGACAAGACTTGGGTGTTTGAGTACGACCCCAAAACAAAAAGGCAAAATGCCAAGTGGCATACCTCGGCATCCCCTTGCCCCAAGACGGCCAGAATGAGCAAGTCAAAGGTTAAGGTCATGCTCATTGTGTTCTTTGACATCAGGGGGCTCGTATACCATGAGTTTGTACCACATGGTACAACCATCAGTGCCAAATTCTATGTGGAAGTGCTAAAGAGACTCAAACGAAGGATTTATCACATCCGGCTGGACATCACGGAAGACTGGAAACTTCACCATGACAATGCGCCAGCCCACACCGCCTTCCTCGTGACCCGCTGCCTGACCAATTCAAAGGTGCCAACGGTTCCCCAGCCGCCCTACAGTCCTGACGTGGCTCCCCCAGACTTCTTTTTGTTTCCGTGCTTGAAAACTCCCATGAAAGGACATCATTTTGGGACAGTTGACGAAGTCAAAGAGACGTGCACCAAGGCTCTAAAGGACATTCCGGAGGCGATGTATCGATGCAGAAGGAGCCTATTTTGAAGCCTTTTAATGTGTTGTACCGATCTAATCAATAAATGTTTTTTAATCGACTCACTGACATTACTTTTCAGACAAACCCTGTATAGGGGTAACACAGGCAAAAGTAGAGATCAGTTGTCACTCAGAATTCAGTTGATTGAGGGACTTTTTGTGAAATATGCAAATACTGTGGAACATAAAATGCAGGGTCGACATTCATCAGACAACACAATACCCCGTCTAAGAGAACGGAATTTTATAAGCAAGATTCCTCCAACAGCGAAGAAATCTAGGCCACAAAAAAGGTGTGTTGTGTGTCAGAAGCGCAGGAAGGACACTGTGTACTGGTGTGACGCATGTGGCATGGGACACTGCATTGAGTGTTTTTGCAACTACCACACCCAGCAGAATTTTTAAGGTAATATGACGCTACTGTTAACAATTTTTATAAGCTTACTGTGCCAAAACTAATTTAAAGTTTCCCGATTTATTATGCCTTAAGTTAAATGTTGCACTCTCCAATTTAAATATTTAAATATCCTCTGGCATAGGATTTGAGTAGGAACTTAAATGCCCACCGGCAATAAAGGGTTAAAGGACCCCCACCCAATCAATACTGAACCTTTAAGCTGGTACAGGTTTCCAGGGTGGCTGATGCAATCTAGATTGCCACCCCAAGGTGTACAGCAGGTGACAGCAGTTGGGGTGGGATAAGAGACCACACCTTAACAGTGGCTGTCAGCAGTCTGACATAGTACATCACTGCATAAGAGCACAGCTAAGAAGAAATGCCTTAAACATGAAAGAACAAACTGACACATCATATTTTACAGATATGACCACAATGGACCCTACTTTCCAGCCCTAGTGTCCAAAACACTGCCTAGAATTGCTCTCTCTCACAAAAAAAGCAGAAGGATTCTGTGTGTCATTTCAGGACAGTGTGATATCTGAGGAGTCAGACCAACATGCCCAGCTTCCAGCCAAGGCAACTGCCAAAGACTTTCTTCCACAAACACACATCAGCAATGACAGCAAGGAGAATGGTCATCAAATTAATGATAATTTCTCCAGTTTAGAAGTTGCAAAAACTGTAATAATTAAATGTACTGCATAATGTTTAGATTTCTTCATATGAACTAATATAACTGTTAGGTTGGCAGGCTTGTTCATTTATCTGAAGTTCAAGTCTGTCCTCTCTTTTTTCTTTTACTTCTGCTTTTGCCGCCATTACATGACGCAATGTTCAAGCACATACAATCTGTGAAGGTTTATATGGTGAGAGTTCATAGTTCTAGTTAAATATAGTAAACTTTAAATGATACAGTCCACTCCAAACAATCATTATCTGGAGGTAAGTTCCAAAACAATAACTGTGAATACATTTTTGTGCAAAAAAAATCATTATATTCCTTTCTCATTCTTTAAAAAAGTCTATTTTTAATAATGTAACGAGTTTTTTAGGGGTTAAAATGAGTTTCCATACCACAAAGCAATGTGTGAGTTGGTATATTCACTGAAATATAAAAATATGTAATTCTCTTTCAATGATAAAATTTAAATTCAATTTCTTTCAAAACCTTTCAAAATGTAGCCAGTGACTTTTCCCTCAAGACCAATGACATGACATGTGGCACCAATTCCCATCAAGCCATGCTGAATATGTCTTCCCTCTTGCTCTGGATTTCATACATGTTGCTAACCCTTTCACTGATGGAATGGACTGCATGAAATATGAGGGCTGCTGAAATGAAAACATTGTGGGGACTGTTCTGGGCAAAGGAGTACAAGTTATTAAAAACAGCCCCCATGGAAGTTTAGGCTGGCAACCCACTGAAACACCACATGATGGACCCTCTCCATAAACAGTACTTAGGCTCCTGGTGTGTCATGCACAAAACCACATGATCACCTACAACCAATCATATTCACTGGCATTGCTGCATACAGCTTCCATTTGAACAACCCTCATAAAGTTAAGTAAAGGTATCACTGTTAACAGGCCATGGAGGCCCATAGTGTTATGAGATGTTGAGGTTCCCACATTTTCTAGGCAATCGTCTCGCAGATGGCAATGAGGTTGTTAGCCTTAACTGCCAGCCACCCTTTACCCCCAGGAAGATTCCTGGTACTCGTTTCTGTTAGAGGCTGAGTTGACCCCAGGGGCCATAGTGCAGCCGGAAGGATTAGGTAAATTGAAAAAATCCACCTCATCAGGATTCAATCCTGCAACCTTCTGGGTTGTAGCATAGTGCCTCAACCAACCATGCTACTGCATGCTCCACAAACAACCCTCATATACAGAAATTTTCTTTTTCTACTTTCACACTGAGAAAAAAGTTTGGTTCTAAAGGGTTCTGACGATGGTGTATGATATTAGAGAATTACTGTGTTTTTGGAATTTGTCCATTGCCTGGTATTCTAGAACCTAGGTTAGCTCTTTCTAAGGAACTCAACAGAGCAGGTGTCTCCTCACTTACCTGAGGACAGTAACAGAGCCAGTTTCAAAAACATTATGTAATCTATAGTTTCTAGAATATGGGGCAATGGACAAAATCCAAAAACTAAGTAATCCTGAAAAGAGTTTCCATTTACTATGTATGTGACAGCACAAATTATGAAATGAAATATGGTGATGAGTATGATGCATTGCTCAGCATTTACTTGAGTTCATAGCAGAAATCATAGTTTGGAGGATCTGAAGGTATTGCTGGAGGATCCTGTGGGATGTCAACACCCTCTGCATCCAGGAGACGTAGTTTAATATCCATTGACAGCAGTGTCTCCAGATCATTCTCCGTCTCTTTACTCAGCATCTTGTTTCCTAATGAAACAACAACAGTGGTTATTGGTAAGTATGTTACAAAACACAAGACACATACTTGTATTAATACAACAGAAAATATACATCCAAACGAACACCTAACAACCTTCACGGAACACAGTTTCCTGTGAATAATATCCTGTTACCCAACTTTTTATAAGATTTGAGGTTTCTCACAATGGTGCTCGAAAGCTTTAGCCACAGAGAACCAGACCATCCATAACAATTTCTCATAAATGAGAAAGTCTTTAACAAATGAGTCAGCTTTGAAAAATTTAACATATTAAATGGGTGATACAGCAGAAAGGTTTGTGAGAACAGTCTTTATTAATTATAAAATTATGTTGGATATTGTAACATTTTAAATTTAAATTTAACTAAAATAATTGACAATTTCCAATGTAATTTTATAACTAACATTAAATGGGTAAAAATGTTCCATAAAACCAATTTAAAAGCTCTAATTTTGCAGAGCATATTAAGTGGATTAAAAATACATTAGCTTCACCAGGAAATTTCTGGATCAAAATCTTAGGCAGGTAAAGTTCTTAAACGGGAAAGTCTTAAGTGTGTTCCACTGTAAACATGTAATTGTACTTAAGCTAATGCACGGTTTTCATACCTTAACAATGGCAATCACATATCATACAAAAACCATGATGGAAACCTACTCTGCCACAGTGAAGTTTCCTCATTTGTATAAATGCATATAAAGAACAGACATATCCCTTCAAGTTTTAACCTTAAACTAAAATCAGACACAAACATCTCTGCATCTATATAAAATATTGAACATGAGTTACCCAGAAGAGCATTGATTCCATCAGTCCAGTAATCAAACACCTGCTCATCTGGAGCCACAAAATCAAGTGATGTCACTTCTACAGAGTCGAGTGTGAGGGAAAAGGCAAGCTGGTGGGTGGTCTTCCTGCCCCTGGAAACAAGAAGCATTACCACAGCAATTCAGGACCAGGCTGACACTTCAATAGATGATGTTTCCTGGTTTCTTCAATGATGCATCATCAACTGCATCTGTTAAGGTGCTTCTGGACTTCTGTTACATATGCTTGGGGTGACAGTGGTCAGTGTCGCATTGACATTTGTTCCACCACATCAGATACCTAAACAGCAGTCCAGATTGAACCTCTCTTTGAAGTAGCACTTCTGTGGTGAACCCCTTTCCAGCCTGAAATGAAATTTCATGGGCCTAGCTACAATTACTGTCTATCACAATGGTCACGCAGTCTATGGCATGAACTGTCTTCACTCGCTTTAACACTGGGATTATGGGTTCGAATCCCACTAAAACCATGGATGTCTGTGTGCATTTATTCTGTGTTTGTAATGTTCTGTGTGCAGGTAGCGGCCTTGCAATTGGCTCATCCCGTGTCCAAAGAGTCCTATCGACTGTGTATAGGATTAAGAAAAACCAGGAAAGGTCCAACAAAGGACTGTAGAGCCATAGATAGACAGACAGCTATTATTACTTCCATTGTAAGTGGGTCCCTTGTCACCATGGGATGAAACATCCTCAGGCCGCAAGTGGCTAGTCTCTGTACACAGAGGGCCACTGTGAATATACTGAACAAGAAGTCATGGACAACCAACATGGGGTGATCTTCCAAAAACTCCACACTGTAAAATCCTACCATTCTGCAAACTGCTACATGGGCCCTCACACTTGGAAAGACATACACAATGGAAAATGGACATGAGATTTTGACCTTGGAATGTCAGGAGTCTCTGTGTGAGGGTGTGTGTGTTTCGAGGCATGTTGGCATTGATGACCATACACACCTGCAACTGGAACCAGAGATTGGGACCAGCTCTATATATGGGAACCAACTGAGTAGGTTTTACCTGAGGATGGGAACATAATCCAGTCTCTGAAATGTTGTGTTTTGAAAAATAAACAGGACAGTTTTTAGAAAATAGACAGGATGATGGATTATGTCCAAAAATATAATACTTGTATTCCTGAAATTAGATGAGAAAACATTAAACCAGCTTAGTCAGAAAAGCTGAGCTCAGAATCAACTTCTACATTTGCAAAACAAGTGTAAGTAGTAATTTAATGTTTGATATAACATACCTAACATCTTTCATGTGAGGACATTCTTTCCCAGTAATCAGAGCTTTTATATCCACTACCGCCAATTTGTTAGGAAGTTCCTCCAAAGTTGGTACACTTTTCTCATCACAGTCACCATAGTGGAAAACTTTATGGTTAGGTGACAGACGGACATACCAGAACTTGTCCTTAATTCTCTGTCCCCTCATTGAGTACTTTGTGAACCTTGTCCCTTCGACCAGAAACCCAAGCCTCTGCTGCTGTATGAGCTCCATGATCTCGGGCGTAATCTGTTCCTTTAGCTCAACGATTGGCCTTGCATGAGATTCCCACTCCTCTCTGCTGGTTCGTTCTTGTTGCCACAGGTTTGTGATTTCTGAGTATGTTAAAACCTGAAGCTTCGCTCGGAACTTATCCAGGCTAGTCGGCTGGGACACTAGGGCTCTTGTAATCTGCTCTCGAACTACACTGAACACCTGAAAATGTAACAAGCAATTATGGGAAGAACTAATCACCTACTTTCTTTGATATGACACAGGTCACATAAAAAATGATACATCCATCTACTGGAGGAAGCGTTTTTTCTGCAGTCTGCCTTGAAGTTATACAAACAGGACAACTTCTGACTTTCAGGAATTAAGAGGGGATATACAGACACACAGACAGACAGCAAGATGATCTCATAAGCCTCATTTTATTGTTTCAAAATACAAAAAGTAGGCTAACAAAATGTGAGGTATCCAAGCTGAAACATTTCAACTTTAAATTTGTTCATTACATTATCAACTTACACATGCTTAAAGATAAATTTATCCTTGTGTTCAATGAATTAAGCAACATGCCATGAAGATGTGAGGGAGAGGAGATATAGGTGCGTAACCTCAGCAATAAATGGAAGTGATTAATTGGACTCACATTCCAGCCACTTTACCCCTCGAAAAACAACCCTTTGACTGTATGGCAGGCTGGGTAAGCTCCAAAGATGGTCTGGATGCTTTGAAGAAAAAAAAAATCTCTCACCCATGCCAAAAATCAAGCCTCAATTCCTTGTTTTCCAGCCCATAGCATAGTCACTATATCAACCGAGCTGAATACAGCAAATGTACTGGTTCAGCATATTCTGACATCCCACCTCCTATCAGAAAACATAGAAATTAAAATATACAAAACTATGATTTCAGCTATTTTTCTTTCTTTCCTTTTTTTTTTCTCTCATTTCATGCATCCTGTTATGTTATAATATACAATTTCTTTATTAAAACCATCACAACACAACTATATTAAGGTGGTGTATATATGTTAGCCATGTATTTGCCTGATGATGACTTTTAATAGCCGAAACATGGCAGAGCCAAACTGGCACTGACCTTAATATAGTTGTGTTGTGACAGTTTTAATAAAGAAATTGTATAATTTTAGCTGTTGCAATATATGGGTATACAAGTCAGTTTCTCAACCAAAGGAAAGAAAATATATTGACGTGTGTTTGGGAACAGGGTGCTGAGAAGAACAGACAGAAGAGGGAGGAGGTAATAGGAGACTTCATATGATGAAGAGGAAAAGAACACTTTGGATGCACATAGAGATGGCAGGATAATATCCAAATGTGATCTGAAGTTTTCATGGTGGTGAAATTTGAAATTAGGCATTTCTACACAAGCAACTTACCTTCACAAAATCCTCAGTTGTGGCTCTCATTTCCTTCCATGTTTTGTTCAGAAGAATTATGCAGATACAAAAGAATTCCTCAAATGGATGATCATGTGTAAAGAACATGGGATGGTAATTCTGGCCCTGTTCACTAGGTGCCTCACCAATACGAAGAACCTCACACAGCAATTTCACTAACTCAACACTTGTTCGACCGAAGGGGCATTCATGTTCATCAGCCCTACAGGAGTTTTCTAATACAACCTAGAAACAACCAAACAAGTTCCTTACACCAAAAGAAATTAAAAACATAATACAGGAAGATCTCAAGCCAGGACTTAGCTCTTTTGTCAAAAAGTCATAGCTGTAGTCAGAAATTCCCTCACTAACTTTCCAATGTTAAGTAAATAAAATAAGTGTACAGATGCCCCTGCCCTTAACTATACATGATGTCATGAAGATATATCCCTGGGGGAATTACAGATACATCTCCGCACATTTTAACCTCAGTACTTAACGGAGGTTGTCTGGTTAATTTTGTACCCTGGCTACTTCACCCTTTGGAAAGGAACAGACATAACCCAATGGACAGGAGGGTCCAGGGCTGATCTGAAGATGGTAGTACACAGAAAAAACTTTGTTCCCACATCTGTCATCCAGCATACAGCCTAGTCACTATTCTTTCCATTGTTTAAGTTAGTCAACTGATGATTCTGAACAAAAAAAAAAGTAAATAATGTTTTTTTGGTAACAGGTTAAGAATGGAACATTGTTAAAAAGAAATCAGCAATTTAAGTGTTCAGGTACATCAGGGTATGAACTTAACACATCAATACAACAGCTCAGTCACACGAGTGATAACAGTCACTGACTTTCATCTGAACTTCATCATGTCAATTTCGTAACACTACATATAAATAAATTGTAAGCCAAGATAGCGTAGTCAGTATACTGACTGGCTATGGGCTGCACAAGCAAGGAGTCTTGAGTTCAAGGCCAGGTAGGTCCAAGAATTTTCTCTTCTCCATATCATCCAGACTGGCACTGGAGCCCACCCAACCTCCTATCCAATGGGTAACAGGGGCAACTTCCCCAGGGGTAGAGCTGCCAGGGTGTGAAGCTGACCAGTCACCTCCAACTAGTGTCAAGGTCAGGAAAATGTGGATCTATACATCCACTAACACACACACCTTCATGGCGTAGTGGTTAATTAGTTAAGCACAGGGACGAATTTACCTTACAAATTATCTGTCAGAGAGGTTGGATGCAATATTTGAATACTGAATGGTCCTTAAAGCCCAGAGGATATCAAATACTGCATGTTTCTTACTGCTGGAACAGCCCTGCATCTGACCAGAAGCCAACACTTTACCTTTGTGTAGTTCTCAGTATGGTTTCGAGCAAAGTAAACCATACAGTCCAGCGCCAACATTCCTGGTGGGGTCTCAGTGAAGTCCAGTGCTGGATTAATGTCATATTTGAAGCCAAGCTTCTTGTAATCCTTGGCAAACACACCGAGTTGTTTCCGAGCCGCGATGTCTCCGGGAACACCGGTACCATCTGTGTCAAATGCAATCCGCCGCAGTTCCTTTATCTTATCATGTGCATCCTGGTCCTGTGGATCCATCTTACTGTTCATTCTCTGTTCCAAAAGACCTAATGTCAACGTCTGCAGCACGTAAAGCTGATGGGCCATCTCCGCACCAACCTGGAAATAAGATGGACATTACCACTTTGCTTTTTAGTCTTCAGGATTTCCACTGTTGAAGTATGAGAGAATCTAGCAGAGAAAGCTCATATCTAAAGAAACTCTGATGCTTCATCTTACATCTATTCAACTAATTCAGGGCTAAAATTTCATAGAAGAGGCACTCCTCACCATAAGCCTTGGCCTTTCTGTGGAGGTAGAATTCCAGTCCTCCTCAACCTCAGCACCAGAACCCAGTGAGCAGAGGGCATCAAGACCCAGATGCTCTAATCCTGGGGAACAGCCACCAGCATCCACTGCATAACCGGCTGGCTGACCCCCAGAGTGCTCTGGCCATAATGGTGAGCAAAAAATCTCAAACTTCCACTCAGAATCGAACCCTTACTCTACAGACATTTCACTCACAATACAGTCACTATAATGACTGAGCTACCCAGCCCTCAGTACAAAGCTAAAATAAAAGTGATGGCAAAATCTGAATTAAATACATATACCAAAACATTCTTATGGATGATTACTGTTTCTTTCTTCATCGGTCACAAACCATTCCATACTTCAAATCTGTTCCACCCACTCTCCGGCCATTCATTCAAGAGCAGCACACACAATACACCACTTTTCTAAAGATCTGTAAAACATTCTAGAATCATGGTGTATGATGATCATATGATTACCTGTCCTGATGCAGACTGAATAACATTGGTGAGTATTACATTCCGGACCTGTTTGGATGATAGCGTGGCGGCAATGGCTTTCCTCTTGGAGTTGTCAGCTTTCAGGAATAATGCATTGATCAGCGCAATAGCATTCTGCTGAATAACCGGATTTTGACTCTGAAGGTGCATTACAAGATTTGGAAATGTTACTTCCTTTTCCACCTGCCCATACTTTCCAGAGCTATTCAAAACAATGTTTTCTAAAATAGACAGTGAAGCTTGTACAACTTTAGCATCCTGAGTTACTGACTGATTGTTCACATAACTTGCTACTTTATTGATGAATGGGCTTTCCAAAATATCCCACGATACAATACCATGGTCCATAAGTTCAACAAACGAAATTAATGAATAGGCAAGCATGTTGCCTTTACATTTTCCACCTTCAACAATACTTATTATCAATGCCAATCCTTGTTTATTTATGAATTCAAGAGCAAATGTCATATCGGTACTCAATTTCGATAACTTCTGAAGGGCATGTAACTTTTCTTCATTTGTTCCTGTATTTAATTTTTGGAGTATATCATGGGCAGTTGTTGAAGGTGAATGCGTCAGTCTTAAAACCGAACCATTTTTTATTTCATTCCTGTTCTTTTCCGTGATATAGTTCTGATTATTGTTTTCAGAAAACTGCAAGGCATACTGATCTGGATCCGACAAACCCCACCCATTGCAGAGTTCCTGAATTATAGCAGCTAGAGGTTGTTTTTGATTAAATTCTATTAGTTGCGGAACTTGCTGCGCCATTTCAACGGCAATCTTAACAATATTTGAGTCCTTCATTGCTGGCATTTTAAATACTTTTGTATTCATCTGCAACCAACAAACGCTACTTCTATTAATATGCTGCACTACCTAACAATAACCTATTTAAGCCCACCAGCGTCGCTTTCTTTTCCTCTTCGCCATAAGCATGTGTTAGCCACGGAACCGCGACCACCTTCTGATTTAAGAAATATCCACGGATGGATTTCAACAATCGAACTTTTCGATAGTTACAATTCGATTGTATCGGCAGTCGCAGGCCGATGACATCGATGACTACAGCGCCATTCTGTTTAAACATGTTTTCAATTTGGCGGCAGAATTCAGTGGCAGCTGAGGCCGCTGTCACCGGCTGTGTCAATTGCGAACATTGCGACGATTGCGAGTGTGTTAGGTGAAATACATGTGTACGTGTGGAATGAACAAAAACTGAAGAGGATTGTATTTTATTTTGGCTGTAGGTATCATTTACTAGGATCACATGTAATGCTGGGATGCAACATAACGCTCTCAACAAAAACAAGCAGAAATAAATGCATAAAACTATCTTTTTTCCTTTCTTGTTTGACATAAGTTGTGATACAGAATAACAACGGGAAAGTTTATACTTGTACCAAATGTTGATTGCAGGTAGCTTGAGTGGGCAAATAAGGAAGGTATAGAGAATTTTGATGGGGATTTGGTGCCACAGTATGGATTAAATTTAAGAAATGGAATAGGGATTAGTGACAGGGATATTTGGAAAACTCTAGATTGGAATCAGCTCCCTCTTTGTCAATTCTTTCAACCTAACCCAGTGTGGTATACCATAACGTGGTTTAATTACTGATGGAATTCCAAGAGACTACTAAACATGTAACTAGTTCTAACCTGGGTCTGGTCAAGTTGGATTTGTGGTGGACAAAGTGGCGTTGCGGTAGATTTTCTCCAAGTACTTTGGTTTCCCCTGCCAATCTCCATCATCATAATCACCCGGGGCAGGTATAATAGGCCAATCAATGGCTGCCATGCCGAGTGGACCCAACTGGACTCCACCCCCCCCCTATGCCAATTAAAACAAAATGTCAGTGACAAGTGAGATATGACAAGGCTGGTGTATTCTTTTATTATAGGCATGAAATTTCGGGTCCTGATGCAAGAAACTTTGAGAGCAGATTTCAGTTTATGATACAATAATGAATTCCAGAGTATGGAGACACCCATCACATAGGTGTCCCATTCCTCGGAGTTAACCATTTTACTGTGTAGATGAAGTTCCCCCTGAGGTCTCCCCGATCTTCATCTGCCTCTGACCAATGGTAGGCAGTTCATTCAATACTTAAAGCTCATAATAATTAAAGTAGGATACCAGTACCTACTTATGTAATACTGTAGAAGTGATCAGAATTTAAGATATAGTAGGTTTATCATCAGCAGACTATATCAGTTTTGTTTCACCTCTCCAGTTACCAATATTCCTTTCATAGAAGAATCTCTTCAATGTTTATGAAACTCCCCAGTCAGTATTTACAGTCACTGACCTCAGGAGTGTAAGGTTTTCATGGTGAATTACATATGTATGCATGAAGATGAATGCTGTACAGCATCAGAACCCATAAATATGGACTGTATTCTGTACAGCTATGCATAGATATGTATGTATTAATTACCTGAGTCATTTTTAGAAGCTGGTAGGTGCTGAGCCATACTAGAAATTCCCCATATTTCATGGAACTTGGAGGTTCATTATTCTGTTTACTAGATCCCATTACTGGTCCCTCTTCTAACTGAAACAAATCCTGTCCACACTTGCCCATCTCATTACTTTAAGACCCATTTTACTATTATTTTTGCTTCTCTGCCTGGATCATATAAGCAGGCTCCTCACTGTAAGCCTTCTGATCAAATTTTGGTAAGCATTTAGTTTTGCTTGCATGCATGCTACATGACCATATCATCCTAATGTCTAGCAAGGAGTACAAATTATAAAACTCCTAATAAAGCAGTATTCTTTAGTTTCTTATTACTTCCTCTTAGGTCCAAATATTTTCCTCATCATCCTGTTCTTAAGTACTGCCAGTTTATATTCCTCCCTTAATGTGAAAGACCAACTTTCACACCTACACAAAACAGGCAAAAATAGTTTTATATGTTTTAATTTTTACATTTTTAGACTGCAGGTGGGGAGCCCATTCTAAACTGGATGGCAGCAATTCCCAAATTTAATTTGCTTTTAATTTCTTTATGAAAAAAATTTTATTTGCCCATGGCTGTCCCAAGTGCTTTAATGTTGCTACATTTTTTTAAAGATTTGGTTGTCTCTTTAGAGGGTTTTGTCCTGTATACTATTTTTTTTAATTCAGTTAGTGGGGGGTGGAGTCCTACTGGGTCCACTCGGCATGGCAGCCACTGATTGGCCTATTGTAGCCTGCCCCAGGTGATTATGATGGAGAATTTGTTGGAATGAAGACTGGCAGGGGATACTGAAGTACTCTGAGAAAACCTGCCCTAGCGCCACTTTGTCCACCACAAATCCCACTTGACCAGACCCGTGATCGAACCCAGGCCACTGCAGTGGGAAGCCAGCGACTAACTGCTTGAGCTATGGCGTGACCTTTTATAGTATTTACAAAATATGAACATATAATTAATTTTCTCCATTTTCTTATACTTAAACCCCTCTACTGGCATGTAATAGATCTTATTTGAGGTATTTATGTTTCCATTCTGTATATCATCATCAGCACAGGCCAGAAGCTGATGTGCTCCATTCAGTTTCAGTCCCTCATGGTTTTCTTGTAGCTTTCAAATGGCATATGCTATAGCAAAATTGAAAAGCAGTTGTAACAAAGCATTTCCTGTTTTAGACCATTTTGAAAAAGAAACATATCAAAGAAAATTTTATCTGTCCATACTATATTGTATGTTCCATTTATGAACATTTTAATTACAGTGATCAATTAATAAATAAGAAGTAGGTTGGTTAATCAAAATACCTAAGCAGACAATAAGAAAATAGAAAAGGTATTTAGTTCTGCCTTCCAAAACCAATATATATCTTATATGTCAGGAAATACAGAAGCTATATACACCTTCACTCTGCATTCTTGTTTTCCAGGTTTGTGAACTTTTTAATGCCTTTTTCTTTCAGATTGGTGATAAATGGCAGACAACTTGGGTATTTTGTCCATTCTGGAATGTCCAGTCTGTTTTGAATATATCATCCCACCGATATACCAGTGCCATAATCAGCATCTGATTTGTTTCAACTGTCAAAAGAAACAGACACACTGTCCTGTCTGCCGAGTCAAGTTGCAAAATGAACGAAATCTGTGCATGGAGAAAGTAACAGAATATATTTCTTATCCGTGCAAGTATGAAGGCGATGGCTGCAATGTAACACTCTCTGTGTGTGAAAAGGAAAACCATGAGCGGGCCTGTCTTACAAAGGGACAGCACCACTGTTCCCTACTAACAACAGAGGGAAATGTTTCACAGTGTGACTGGATTGGCCCATTTGGAGAAGCTGATAGTCATATAAGACAGAAGCATAGCCATTTGATTAAAAATTCACTTGATGGTTCTTTCAGGTTTTGTTCATCTGAACTGAGGAATTACCAGTATTATATTTTATTTGATGATAACCTTTTCTGTGCACTAATACATACAGATCCATTAAGGACTTCCTCTGTCCATAAGATATTCACATGTTTCTTCCACATTGTTAGTATAACTTCCGGGCAAGAAAACTGCTATGCATATAGTGTGAAAATTGAAGGACGGGATGATACATTTGAAGGATTTGTTGGAAAGATTATCACTCATGCAGATATAAAAAATGTGGCTAGTAGACGGGAATGCCTTCATTTTATGGGAAGAAATCACATTTTTGTACTTCAAGGGAACATTGTAAAACTGTAATAAAAACAGATTCTTAAGTACCTCTAAGCATTGATATCAAAATTTGAAACCGTTTTTACACTTTCCAGACTGATAATGCTGGCATCTTGATTTTATACATTGGAAATGTTGCCTCAGTTAAAATGATTAGGAATTATTTTTATAACAATGCATCATGTTAAATTTGAGGTTCTTATGATTGTAACTGTAGAGATTGTCTTCTGAATCATGACACCATGTAGTTTGGTACATCAATACCAATGTTTCATAGGAACTTGCTGCTTCAGTCTTCTACTATGAAGATGGAGGCAAGTTCCTCTGGAACATTGATGTTGATCCACCAAACTACATGGTGTCACATTCCAGGAATCACACTAATCCTCAGAATTTGTGTGTTTATATTGTAATATGAATAAACTTAGAAATTGCAACAATTTGTAAGGTGGGAATTTTTTATGTTTTTTAACCCACCTAGTTACGAATATAAAATTGGTACAGAAGAATCCAGCGCTGCTTTTACAAAGATGGTGGACAAACTATATTTTGCTTAGAAGCAGACAGTAGTACACAAGAGTCTGCTATATGCACAAATGTCTGGTGTTACTGCCATTCAGATGGGTCAGTGGCTAATCATATTTGCCTACATTACACATAATTTCCAGTTGGCTTGTTATTTAAACTTTTATGTTCACTTTGTGTAAGTAGCATAAATGTATGAAATGCATGATGAATGTGAAATAAATTTAATTTATCACTTAAATATTACTTCTCTGTTCTCATGATATTTTTGTGGTTCCCAAAAGTCACTGCATCATATTCTTAAAGACATTTTCAGCATGGGCCAAAGAGTGGAATGCTATCCAATGGGGCAACCATGTGGCTATGTAACAAGACAAAACTGAAAGTTTTCTTTAAGGCAGTCAACTACTTGGTGAAGAAGCTGATGAAAATTCAGTGACCACAGGGATAGGAAGTTTCTGTGCCCCTCCATCAGTCCACATGGGTGATGTCTAGCGTTTGGGTGGTTGGTTTGGAGAGGGCAGAGGTGAAGCCAGGCTCTCCTAAGTCTGCATTCATCTTCAGGATTGAAATTATGAAAGTGTGCACAAACTAATTCAAAATGAAACTACATAAATGTTTTTGTCATTTGCATAACACAAGCATAACTGAGAGCACTCCACAGACAGATGAGAGGAGATATTCTTATGACAGTTAAAATCAAGATTAGTCTTTTGGGATGTGATGCTGTGTTGTCTAATAGATAGTTACCAACGAACTGGATGAACCTGGTGCCTTAATCATCATCTGAACTTAAGATGGCAGCTGCAATTTTTTTCCAAAATATAATTAACCATCTGCCAAATTACAGTGTCACATTCCAGAACAGTATATGGGTCCAGGGCCAGGGAATAACTATCGATTGGGCCCAACTGAGTAGGCTATTACCTGAAAATGCGGACAGAATCCAGTCTCGGACATGCTGTGTTTTGAAATATAAACAGGAGATGGATAATATCAACAAATACAAAAATTGCAATAATTGTAGTATATCTGTTGTTTGCATAATAGTGTTTATGGAATTAATACATGTAAATTTAGGCAATTATTGCTCCATCAGAATGATACTTCTCATCAGGTACAAGAAGTTTCGCATGTTAGGGAGAGTAATATAATTTGAAACTTTGCAATATTCTTTTTGGCAAATTATTTGTATAAATGAATGAGAAGAAGTGGCACCAATCACACAATCAATTGCTTTGGCTATGAGGCTATGGTTCATGAATTAAACAGAAACAGGAAATAGGCCCTTCAGAGCACATAAAAAGTCTAATATAACATAAATACATTTGCTGTCTTTCACTTATATACTACATCACTTTATATCACCTCTAGTACTAATAAATGCTATTTTAGGAAACTATGTCTATTAAAAATATTACATCTATAAACTTTTACAGAATTTACAAACTGTTGCTCTCATTAAAAAAAGTTAATTCAGTAATATGTACCACTGCCACGTGTCTGTTACACATAAATTCCACACCCTTTCTACCACATTCCCATTACAGAGTCATTTCATCTAGACTATCATTAAACAAGGGACAATGATGCAGACCTTAGCTTGGGTTCATTCTTAAAGACTTTCCAATTAACCGCACAAAAGGTGAAACTGTTAACAAAATACTGTCAAAGCCTCTTGGTTCATCATTACAGTTGTTAATCAGAATATCTGAGTGTTCAAGTAAGAATTTACTAATGTTATATTGCGACGTAGCAATGTGGAATCCTGAACAATTTTAATATTTTTAACGTTCGACATTTGTCAATATATATGATAGATATATATTTTAGTTATTTTAATGTGAGGACAAGGCATGCAATGAACTAGTTTTATGTGGATGAGTAAGCACCTGAAGATGGCATTATTATGCCGAAACATGTAGTGCGAGTGAGAGCAGGAGATAGATGAGTGTATGCACTGCAAGACGGTTTAAATAAATCATGGAAGAATTTACTAATTAACCAAGAATTTATGTGAAATTTGATGTTCTGAGAGCATAAACATTAAGATTATGTATTGTCTTCTGGAATGTGATGCTATGTAGTCTGGTTAGATCATTACCAAAATTCAAGAGGAACCTGCTATCTCCATGTTCACAGCAGAAGGGTGAGGCAAGCCTCAACGGCATTTGCTCTCTCAAGGCCCCAGTCCCATTCTCTCTCTTCCTGTATCCGAAGTACTTCTTTCCATACTTAGCTCAGACTTTTACCCTGAAAATTGAGGGAACAGGTTCCTTCAAAATGCTGATAATGATATGACATACTAAATGGCACCAGATTCCAGAAAACAGTTATATGTCACCTATAATTTAGTTAAAACAGGCATAAATATTTCCACATTACCCATTACACTAATCATTATTTACTGACAAATGGCTGCATACTGAACAAGACACAACACTATCTACTGGAAATATGTTATATCCCATCTCACATTTTTATGTTTCAAAACTTTAAGCTATGGACAGAGAAAGATAAAACATGAAACATGTTGGAAGGTATAAAACTGTGATAAAATGAATGACAGTCTCATGATTTTTCATGTGACTAAACAGTGTCCAATGGAGGAATAACTGATGAATTGAAAAAGCACTTGCAAGGAAGCTGTCACTACCTAATCGAAGTACTATCCCAGCAATTGCCTGGAGTTACTCAGGAAAACCATGAACAACCTTGGTCAGGCTAGCTGGTGCCCAAGTCAAGATCTGAAATGAGTACCGCCCAAATACAATGCTACAGAATTGCTCCTATGCCAACCTGATTGGCATCATGTCTTATTGTAAACTGACTTACATAAAATACTGCAAATGAAAGATATACTAACAATTCAATGAATACGAACTACTAGGGAATAAAATTATAATAAAATGTTCACTTAATGAAATCCTTCATTAAAGTGATATCCAGGCACAAATAATAAAATTATCTTTTGCTACAGAACACTTAAACTGTATCTCACACCATCAGACAGTATCCATATAGCAAAATATTTTATATTTCTTAAAGCTACAAAGTTATACAGCATCTTACTTTAGCAGTGTAAACATAAATAACTTAAACACACAATGTGTTGCTACTACAAATATAATAAACATATGATTTCGGTTTAGTTTCAACTAATATGGCAATGAGAGTGGCTATGCCTACATTAGCAGTGCATTAAGATTCCTACCACATACAATTCCTGTTGTTTGCCAAGCAGTGAAGTAATACTTTGAGGTAAGTAAAGAAGCAGTGCTTATAAATTTATTATCATAGTCACGCTTCATTTGTATTTTAATAAGTAAAAAGGACTGAACTCAGAAGATGTTGGAAGATACACCACCAGACCAATGAATACTGTACAAACATTTCAGCAGTTTATGTTCAAGCTGAATCTGAAGATGTGATACTTACATTGTTATATATGTTGCCCTTTTCATGTCACCTCGCTTTAGCTACAGAAACATGTCAGGAACATGGTTCTGTTTCCGCCATCAGATTAAAATAGAAGCTTACTCAATCTGGTCCAGCAGATGCAGCTGATCTCTCTCTCTCTGGACCAGAGACCAAATGCAGAAGGAAGTATAGTGGAACTGCCACTTAACACTCCTCCATTTAAGGGTTTCCCTGTGTTCAATTTCAATGTTTGCAAGTCAGTAATCTCAGTGTTAAATTACCTCCATTCATGACTTTCCTTAGTTTACTATTTCAATCCAATTATCCCAAAACAAAACTTAAATGATGGTTTCACTGTATACAGGACATACAGGAATACCACTTCAAACCACAAATGAGAACTGCTGATAGTTTATGAAGTAAGAGTTAATAGGGAAAGGCAAGTGTTAGCTTTAGAGTATTCAACTCTCTTTTACACACATGCAAGGCCAGCACAAAAGTACAGGCAGTCCATCAGGACACTTGGGGGCAGCAGGATTTTGAGGGTGGCACATTTTAAGATAAATACTTACATTAACATCAACTGTACACTTATGAGGTAATTTTATTGGTTAATTTAAATATTTCAGTAAGTGGAACTACTAAAAAAGCAGGGTCAAACTCGACAAGTAATATTCTGTTTAATATAGTTGTATCAACATAACTTCACATTAAATGACAAAGCAGGAATTTTGTCATGGTTTTGTCTGTTTATTCATTTCGTGCAGATCAAGGATGAGTAAGAATTATGAATTCAGGAACATTTTCTACATTGTCTACCTTCTAAGCAAACATCTGGAGAATTCACTGAAGTCATTTTACAAGAATTCAGGAAGTACAATTTCTCTTTTGAAAACATGTGAGGGTGAGCACATGACAGTGCTTCAAATATGAAAGGAAGGGGCTCTGAAGTACAATACAAGATGCTGTGCATGAACCCTAGAGCCTTTATCATTCTATGTAACACACACTCATTCAACTTAACAAGAGAAAAACCATCACGAACCACTTTTATCAGATACCGAGTGGCTTTGGAAATTAGCATTTTTTGCTGATCTGATGAACCATATGAACAATTTGAATTTAAAGTTGCAGGGTGAAAATAACTTAGTCTGTGATTTATTTGCACTTATCAAGGCATTCAGAGCAAAGTTGATACTACTGGAAAGCCAAGTGAAAAACTGTAACTTTGTTCATATACTATACTGTGCAGAGTTGCATAAAAAGGGCAAAGCTGAATTTCCTTCCTCGTTCGCAAATTTAGTCATTTCAGATTTGAAAGAACAATTTCATGAGCGATTTGCTGATTTGGATGCCAGTGCTCAGGAAATTAGATTGTTTCAAAATCCGTTTGACTGTGATGCTGCAGATGTCCCAAGTCAAATTAAAAATGGAAATTACTGAACTTCAGGAAAATTATCATATTAAAGACAAATACGAGAAAGGAAATTTGATCGAATTTTATAAATTTCTGAACTCTGAGCAATTTCCAAATTTAAAGAAATTTGCTTGTAAATTTATCTCCATTTTTGGGACGACATATCTGTGTGAACAAACTTTTTCCCAGATGAAGTACATCAAGTCGAAATACAGGGCAAATTTATCCGATGAACATTTAAAGTCGCTACCTGTGATTAGCTTTTCAAAATTTGAACCTCAATTTAATCAGATTTTAAGAATGCAAAAAGAGTTCCATCATTCACATTAATTGAAGAAAGCAGTCTTCTGGGATTTGGCGCCGTGTATATGTGGTGTTAACCGACG